ACAGCAACCTCCAACTCCTGGGCTCAAGCGAGTCTCCTCTCTCAGCCTCCCAAGTAGCTAGGACTATAGGCGCCCGCCACAGAGCCCGGCCATTTTTTGGTTGCAGCCATTATTGTTTGGCGGGCCCGGGCAGGGGATTCCAACCCACCACCTTAGGTTTATGCGGCTGGCGCCTTAGCCACTTGAGCCACAGGCGCCGAGCCAGATCTTTTTCATAAGGAGCCAGTTTTCATCTCTTTTTGTCCTGCCTCTGAATTTTTCGGATTTATGAAGATAAACTCCACTTCTGAAAATCACATGGGGATGAGGCAGAGAGGAAAAAATTGTAACGACATTTAAAGTGTTTTTATAATTAGAAAATATAATGATATAAAAATCTTATCTTAAAAATGTCTGGGTCAAGACATTGCTTTCCTTCTCTAGGTTAATGTGATATAAAAATAAATATTAGGGCTCTGGGGTGGTGCCTGTGGCTCAGAGGAATAGGGCGCTGGCCCCATATGCTGGAGGTGGTGGGTTCAAACCCAGCCCTGGCCAAATACTGAAAAGAAAAAAAAAAAAAAAAAAAATATATATATATATATATATATATATGGCTCTGCCCTGCTTCCTCCTATGGGGCTCCTAAAACTCTTCTAATTTCCTGAGCAATAGTGCTGCTAGATCATCTTTGGTTCTTATATTTGGTCTTTGATTCACATTCCTGTCCCTGAGCTCCTGAGACCTTTGTAATTTCCTGAATGACAGGAGCCTGTTACACAGAGCAGCTAAATCCCCTGGAATTTCACGGGAGATAGAAGTAGCTTTTGTTCTAAGGAGTGGACTCCTGGAAGGATCCAGCTTGGGGGCTGGTTACCCCAGCAACAAACCCCCTTATTAGAGGGTTGGCACTTTCAGCCCCACCTCCTGCCCACCCGCTCCCAGACCAAGCGGGGAGAGGGCTCCAGGTTGAGTTGGCCAACAGGGGCCAATGATGTGCTCAGTCATAACTATGTAGTGAAGCCTCCAGGAAAACCCACAAAGACTGGGCTGACAGCTTCTGGATTGCTGAACATGTGGTGACGTCTGGAGGGGAGTCACTAGGAGAGGGCATGGAATTCCCACACCCTTCCCGCCTATCTTGCCCAATGTCCCTCTTCCTCTATGTCTTGTATACTACCCTTTATAATGAATGGGTAAATGGAAAGTGTTTCCCAGTCCTGTGAGTGTCCTAATCAAACCTGAGGGGGAGTTGTGGGCACCCCCAGTCTATAGTTGGTTGATCAGACATACAAGTCACAACCTGGGACTTGATACTGGTGTCTGAGGTGGGGGCAGTCTTGTGTATGAGTGCTTAACCTAGGGGACCTGATGTCATCTCCAGGTAGACAGCATCAGAATGAGGGGGCACCCCATGGGTATCTGCTGGAGAATGGCTTGATGTGAGGGGAAACCCCACAAATTGTGGCCCCCAAAGTGTGCTCTGCTATGAGTTGGTCCTCCCAGGAGATAAAGGGCAGCAAGGGCTGGAGTGATGACAAGGATGGCCCTCAGTGCTGCCCTCAACACTGCCCCCTGCCCTGCCATGGGACACTGTCCCTGACAATGCCCCCTGCACTGCTGCTGGACACTGCCCTGACACTGTATCACGGGAAGCTGTGCTGGACAGCTAAAGGACAAGTGGAATCCTGGGCATCTACTGACAAGAAGCTTAGGTGAGTATGGGGCGGAGGGTCGAGCTCAGAGGCCAGGGAGGTGAGAGCAGGGAGGACATAGAAACCCAGCAGTGGTTTGGAGCCCAGGGAAGGCTGAGGAGCCAGGTGACCAAGACTCAGCTCTGCTCTGGCTCCAGCCACCTCCCCAGCCTCATTCATCTGCCCCTTGTGTCACACGCGCAATGCCACGCTTTCTGTCCTTCCACGGCACAGCCCGTCCTGGGCCTCCCCTCTGTCCCACCTGTGAACACTTACCTGCACGTGACCTCACTCAGGTCCTCCTCCTCCCGAGGACCTGTGCCCTCCTTCCTCCCCTGCAGGCCAACAGCACATGGCGGGGTAAGCACTTTCATAACCTCTTCTATTTCCTTGTAGACGCTGCCTCCAGCAGGTAGGGAGCACATTCTGTGTGGTCCATCTCTGCCCAAGTGCCTAGTTCACGTGGTTTTTCATTTTCGTTTTAGAGATGGGGTCTTGCTCTGCCATCCAGGCTGGAGTGTAGTGGCTGGACCACAGCTCACTGTGACCTCTAACTCCTGGGCTAAGGGGATCGTCCTGGCTCAGGCCCTGGAGGAGCTGGGAGTACAGGCCAGTGCCACCATGCTGGGGCCCATCTCATGTTAAATACTGGATGAATAGGACCAGACCTTCCTAGATTTAAGAAAAAAACACCAAATTAGTGATACTGTAGTGACATAAACTTGCCAAGATGACAGAATACCAACATGTAGATTTATCCTGATAAGGATGTGTGATTCTAGGAAGGAGGAAACCAGGGTGTGTTAGCCCCTAGGATCCTCCCTTGAGTGTGAGCATGAGATCCTCCTGCTGGCTCCAGCCCTGAGGATGGTAGGGAAGGTGAGTCACCAGGAGGAGAGGATGATATTTACCACCTTGTTTTCTGAACTCTTTTTCCGTAGCTAGCAAAACCAACCTTCTAATAAACTGTTCGGCTGCAGAGACTACCTGTGAGCTCCTGGGCCCTAGGGTGGCTACAGCATCAGTTCTCAGACAAAGGCTGAATAACTCCTGGCTTTTCCTTAGTTCCTATTGCACTAAACCACTGAAAAGGGACTGAGTGTCCTCTCGGTCCTGCCAGCCACCCAGAGAACCCGAAGCAGGGCAGGAACTCCCAGTGCGAACTCCACGCCTTTAGGCTGAAGGCATTTTCACGTTAGATGAAACTAAAAGAAAAAATTTTAAAGGCCAGGCATGGTGACTCGTGCCTATAATCTTAGCACTCTGGGAGGCAAAGGTGGGTGGATTGCTTGAGCTCAAGAATTTGAGACCAGCCTGATAAAGAGTAAGACCCCATCTCTACTAAAAATAGGAAAACTAGCAGGGCGTGGTGGCAGGCACCTATAGTCCCAGCTACTGCGGAGGCTGGGGCAAGTGGATCATTGAATTCAGGAGTTTGAGGTTGCCTGTGAGCTATAATGATGCCCCAGCACTCTACCCAGGGTGACAGGGCAAGACTTAAAGCTACACTGATCCTACCTACAAGACATGGCATTTACCAAAGGAATGCATTATACCACTTGTACTTTGGAGGCTAGAACAGGGACACAAAAAATCAAGTTGGTGGTTGCCCAGAAGGCTCCTGCCTTCCCCAATTCTTTCCAGAAGGTTGCCTAAGCAACCTTTGTTTCTGGTGCACGAATCAGACTGCGAGGCCTGTTTTCTTTGCCAAATTCAAAGGTATTTCAGAATATAGCTTATATTGCTATTAAAAGCAAACAAAAAAGGATTTAGGTGCATGTAATAAACAACCAAGGCCCACGTCCAGACTAACATGCTTCCAAACATAAGTTTTTGTAAAAGAGAACTTCCATAGTCGACTACCTCCTTATGTTGACCTTAAGTTGATCTGATTTTCATAGACCTGACATGCACCACACGTGCGTATCAGTACAGTAGACCTAGGTCCTTTTGTTGACCGCCTCTGTATGTTGACCAGTCTGTTACAGTCCCTTGGGTAGTCAAATTACAGAGGTTTTACTGTATTAGACTTTGGTTCTGGTTAAGTTGGAAATTCAAGAGACATTTCACTTATTAACAGAAGACGTTATGTCATGTTTTAAACTTTAGATTTCTTCATACCCATTAAGATTTTTCAGTTTTTGAAGACAACGTTCCTTCTAATAATAAACTAAAACAAGGAGAACATCTCACTCTTGATGGCGCCAGATAGGGACAGATTCTGACATTAGCTTGGGCAGTGGAGAACAGGACAAGATTGTTCTCTGCAAACGATGTGATTTCACGGAGGGACACGACAGATCCTTTATCTCTGTGTAAATCAGTCAACCTATTCTGTGATCACCATTACAGCAGCCTCAACATGAACAAAGACAAATCTGGGTGCAAACAAATCCAGATGTCTTGGCCTCCCCTTTCTGCCTCCCAGGGACTTGGCTGCACACTCTGTTGAGAAGCTGACACCTTCCCCTGGATCAGACACCCGCGTTGAACCTCTGGTCTCACTGCCATTGGAGCCAAGAACTTGCCTTGTGTTGTGTGCGTCATGTCAAGGTCTGAACAACATCCAAAGCAGTATTTTGAAAGTGTTTCTGACTGTAACATTCAGTAAGAAATGAATCCACACTGGGATCCGGTGTACATGTACGCACATGCTTGTAAACGAGTTACACAAAAGGATATTTATCTTAACTGTGTATGGTATACTCTGAACATTTTTCTTGCATACTAGTTCATTTTTTAATCCTGGTTTTATCCACCCACTAGACTGATTTCACAGTCCATTCATAGGTCCTAACCTGTAGTTTGAAACACAGTGGTACAAAACACCCCCACATTAGAGACATAGGTTTCTTAAGTTAGTCAACTTGGGAGTGTAAAATTCTAAAAATCGAAATAGATATTTCAACAGAAATCTCTTCCCTGCCACATACAAAATGTGAAGAGTTGAAATTATTCTTAACATTGGTGGACCTGTGAGCTACAACTGATCAGAACACAGATGCACACAGCCAAAGTTTGCAAGGGAGCGCAAGGGCAGAGTTGGACGTACTCACTGGGACCCGCCATGTGAGCAGAGGCAGGGGGGCGACTTTTACAGCAATGCTGCAAAGCAATGTCTTCCTTTTGCTAGAAGAAATAACAAGGGTCTTGGGGCTGGGAAAACCCTTAGCTGGCAAATTCTACTTTCTCGTATCAGATGACGAGAGCACTTTAAAAATCAGAGCACTGACTTTGGTCCCATTTAAATAGCTAACTTCAATTACAGATAGGGTAAAAAACAATTCATTGAAACATTCAACACTCTCTTTTTAAAACAATGACTAGAATTTTATTGGCCCAGGAACAGCAGCTGGAGGCGAAATAACAAACAAAAAAAATACATTTTAAGAATCCTTAGGTACATCACATATTTACAATTAAAGTGTCATATCTTTGAAGGCCACTGTCCATCAGCTCAGCAAGTACCAAGCTCTAAAGCCATGGGGTCAAAGTCCTGCTTGTCAATTAAATATCCACTGTCCCGGGGCTCAGATGGAGTCTTTTGCATCTGACTCTGGTGTGTGCATTGGCATCAGGAGAGCCTTTATGGGGTAAGGCTCACACTCCTTAAAGGTGCTTCTCTCCACCGTGGGAGCTCAGCTGACACAGACAACACGTGACGTGCGGCTGCACACCTGTGGGCTCATCTTCCTATGGTGTGTCCACGCCAGCCAGACAGCCACGAGGAAGCAAAGGCCCGAGGAAGGCTGATGCTGTGCAGGCTCTGAGTGGAGCACACCTCTGTCCCACTAGGGATACACCCAAGTTCTAGCACCTTGATTACAGCAGAGGGCTTGTCACCATTGGGGTCCTCTAGGATTTCTGACAATTCCCACAGTCTGTAGGTTCAGAAAGTGCTTTCGAGCAGGCAGTGGCACCCACAGCCCGTGGGACACACCTCCTGGGTCCGAAACCACTCCATCATGTGACTGGTGTGGCCACCGTGCCCGCAGGTCAGGCAGAAATTGGATGATCCCCGCACGGCCACGTGGCAGATGGCACACTGGAATGTGAAGCCTTTGCAGATGGCACACTGCGTGCCGCGGACCTCACTCCGGCAGTGGCTGCAGTACACGCCAAACTCTGGAAACAGGCGGACACGGACAAAACAAGAGGTAGCTCAAGTTTAGTTCTGAAAAGGGAAACTGGGCACTGTCAGAAAAGAAAGGTGTGAATCTCTTAGGATCCTATTCGGAATCGGTTAGAACAATGCCTTTCATTTTCTCTTTTTTTAAAACACAGAACTTCTTCGGCCACCTGGACAAGTCTGATAAAGGGTAGCGCTGTCACTGCAGTGGCAGGTGTGGGCAAAGGGAAGTGGCAGGCACCTGGCTCTCAGAGACCCTGGTGGACACCCAGCGCCGCCCAGCATGGGTGGCTGCGCTGATGCTTTTCCAGTCCATGGCTGGCAGGGACCTGGCACGTACAAGGCGTGTAAGAGGCATCGGCTGAAAGGACTGAATGACTCAGGAAACACTGCAGCTGAGAGTGGACTGGCAGTACCCCAAGTCTGCAGCCAGCCCTCTCTACTACCTGCCTGCCAACTGGCCATGCAGCATGAGGTGGCCAGATCAGGACAGATTGTGCCGCTCTTCCACGTGTGAGGACTGGCTCCCTACCTCCTGGAAGCCAGCACAGGGCAAGTTCCACCATCACAGACCCCAGTCTGTTTTGTCACCACCCCAGGGCCAGGCACCCGTATTGCCACTGCCTCCTCTGCTCTCCCCTTCCCCTCTCCTCCCACTGGGCCACCCCCAGTGCAGACCTTGCACATGTTCTATCTGCTCAGAACACCCCCAACTTGACGCTAATGAAATTCCAGCTGCCTCGGTTGGCCTCTGGCTGTTTCGTCCTAAAGTCCTATGACCCCAGGGGCAATAAGAGTGGAACGGTGCCCCTTACTGCCCCCAGACCACACCCTTCCTCTGGGGGCTAATACCACCCGGCCTCACCAGCCTTTGCCCCTTTTCTCGGCTGTCTTCAACTGACATTTTGGAGTCGTGCTTTCTTTCCCTGAAGACTTCTGTCCTTAGTTCTCAATCTTCCCTCTACCCCAACTCTCAGCACAATCCCTAGTGTCCTCCAATCCCATCTCCAAGCCCCTGCCTATTCTTCTGTGTTCCACCTGCCACTTTCTGGCTGCACTTTGTCCTTTGGCCAACCTGAACTATGTGGACCAACCTTAGAGTCACTTTTTTTGCAAATACAGTAGAACTTCCATAGTTGACCACCTCCCTGTACTGACCACCTCCTTAAGCTGACCGAATTTTCATTGCCCGAACATGCACACATATCAGTGGAGTTCCTTATGTTGCCCACCTCTGTGTGTTGACCAGTTTGTTATAGTCCTTTGGGTGGTCAACTTACAGAGGTTTTACTGTGTGTGTATGTATATATGTGTGTGTTTATGCATGTAATTTAAGCTTTTTAAACAAAAAAAAGCTATAAACTGTAAAGAAGAAAAAATTGAAAAGAAAACTGATATGTAAAGAAGAAAATGTAAAAGTTATTCTGTATCCGAATAAGACAGATTTCTTTTCTTTTCTTTTTTTTTTTTTTTGAGACAGAGCCTCAAGCCTGTCCCCCTGGGTAGAGTGCCATGGCATCACACTCACAGCAACCTCCAACTCCTGGGCTCAAGTGAGTCTCCTGCCTCAGCCTCCGAAGTAGCTGAGGCGCCCACCACAACACCTGGCCATTTTTTGGTTGCAGCCATCATTACTGTTTGGCGGGCCTGGGCTGGGGATTCGAAATCACCACCTTAGGTGTATGTGGCTGGCGCCTTAGCCGCTTGAGCCACAGGCACCGAGCCAAGACAGATTTCTTATAACATCAAAATGACTTCACTTGAGAGTTGGGTGTTTTTGTCATGAGTCACATTAAACAAAAGTCTATTTCTGAAAAGTCTAGGGTTCTAAATTATTTGCTGGGTTGACTTTGAATGCTGTCTTCTGAACCAAGTATGTAATTGTTTCTTGTGTTTAAGGACATAAGATTTATGTCTATATCTAATCACCTCTGACAACATAACTTTATTGTTTTTTTGGCCCCTGTTTTTCACACTTCTAGCACGTCTTTTTTAAATGGCCCATTCCTATATTTAGAATCATAAAGCTGTCAATGCCTTCTGTATCTTAGCTACCTGCAGAACTTCCCAGATGACCAGTGGTCAAAACTACAGGTCTGTTCCCTCCCTACACAGAGGGAAAGGTGCTAGAAATAAATGGGAATGCTTGGTACATGCAGTACTCTTAATTAGTTTAGCTTTATCATAAGAGCTCTTCTATTTCTTGAACTTAAAATAGGAGAAATCAAAAAGGGAAATTCAATTTCTCAAGGTAAATGTATACCAATACAAGGTTATTAATAGCAATTTTTATTCAGCAATTGCCCTTCAAAATCAATAGAAGGATACTCATGTCTCATATAAAGACTGGCGTACCTGTGAACAAATTTATTTTTTTTGAGACAGAGTCTCACTATGTTGCCCTGGGTAGAGTGCTGTGGCATCATAGCTCACAGCAAACACAAACTCTTGGGCTCAAGTGATCTTCTTGCCTCAGCATCCCAAGTAGCTGGGATTACAGACGCCCACCACAATGCCCGGCTATTTTATTTGTTGCAGTTGTCACCGTTAGTTTTAGCAGGCCCAGGCAGGTTCAAACCCACCAGCCTCGGTGTATAGGGCCAGCACCCTAACCACTGAGCTATGGGCGCCGAGCCAGGGCTTGGCTTTATTAAGCAAAATCAGTCACTATTATCTGCTTCCCAGATCCCAAATTTTACGTCAACATTACTTCTCCATATCCAGTTAGGCCTTTTCAGAAAAGCTCTGGTGGGGTCTGGGGGAATCTGTGTATGTTCTGGCTACTATCTTTGGCAGTCTTCCATTTCATCCTTTAAAAAATATCTCTTTGCATAGTTTCTTTCACTTGGGTCTTGCTTTCCTCAAAGCTCATTGGAGTCTCACTCGAAGTCTCTTATTTCTGGCTCATCCTTTAGGTCCCAGGCTCTGAGGACTAGTTTCTCCCAAGGCCCAGCTCAAGTGCCTCTTGCTACACTCCTCCTTCCCACCTCTGGGTCAATATACCATCTCCATGCAGAGACACCCAAATTCCCAGCTCTAGCCCTATCTTTCGTCTGAGCACCCAACTCACATCCAACTGCCTGCACATCTTCTCCAGTCCCATATCTCACATGTCTCTCCCCAAATTAAGCTCACAACTGCCTTCCAGTCTTTTCCATCTTAGAAGCTGGCACTGCCACTGGCCCAGGTGCTCAAGCAGGAAATCATCTAAGCTTTGTCTCTCTTCCTAACCCCACATCCAAGTCATAGTGAGGCTACCTCTAAAATATCTGTTTAATCCATCCATTTCCTTTCAGCTCCATCCATACCACCCTCAGACCAGGCCGTCAATCTCTTGACTACTGTAACATTCTCCAAAGAGGCTTCCTACTTGCTTTGCTCTCTTTCCAGCCTTTTCTCAGGTGATAGCTAAAGTGATCCTCTTAAAACAAACCAGAGCATGTCATTTCCTTGTTAACGGCCTTTGGACTTGGAACATGATCCAAATCCTTGACCACCACTGACAAGTCCCTGCCTGCTATGCCCTAGTTACCCTACACTCTAATTTGATAGCACCCTTCTCACTCTCGGCATTCCATCCACCCACACTGGCCTTCTTTTACTAGTTCATCAGACAAGCCATTTCCCCAGAGGCTGCCCCCTTAGCATATGGGGAACTCTCACAATATGGTGTGTTATCAACTGATTCCCTGGAGGATGGCACCTTCTCATCCTTCAGACCTCAGCTCCTCAAAGAGGCCTTCCCAACACACCTCACATGTCTTCTAAGATTCTTTCTTCCTTTTCTCCCTGCCCCACCATAGTTTTCGTTTGCTCATTAATATTTATCTCAACATGTAGTATTTAATTTTTCTTCCCCCCTCAGCTGCTAGTTCCCACCAGGGGAAGTGCAGCACTGTGTGTAAGAGGAGCCGGATTGTATTAGTGGCTACACGAATAAACACCCCTACTTCCAATCCATCCTGAGTACTGAAGGTAAACCCACTTCTGTTGCAATAGCAATTGGATCTTACGAAATACAAGAGTTTTCAAAAGCTTGGAACTGACTCCAAATGCTTTGGAAATTTCTGCTTCTAACTGAGGAGCTAAAACATCATTCCAAATCTGATGCTGTGGACGAACTAAAGTGCAGGACCTTTCGGACTGTGGCAGGAAAAGAAGAAAAGGCATATTCACCAATCCCTTTGTGAGGATCAGGAGGACAGGAGACAAACTTCAATACTTCAGCTCGTTTCTCCCTCAGACCCCAGCGGTAGAGAATTTCCCCATAGCATTTCTTAAAGTCGTCGAACTGCTGGGTATTGGCAGGGTCCAAAAGCCTGGATAAATTCAGAAGGTTTCCTGTCAGTTACTTTAAGAAAAAACAGGATAGATAACAAACAGCACTTAATGTACCCTTCCTAGGGTGGGTACATTTGTCTCTCTTCCTAAACCCACATCTAAGCCAAGGTAGGAAGAGAGAGACTTCCTAATGGTGAGTGCAATGGCCATCAGAGTCCTGATGCTGGAGAATCTAGAGAGTTCTGGAATGGCGGCCCTGGCCTGGGGAGGCCGTTACCTTTTATTTCTGTCATGCTGGTCCCGTTCTCGCTCCCGAGGATCACTGTAGGTCAGACTGCCAAAGCGGAGTTCCTCTGGGGAAGACTCTCCCCAGGGTGATGATATATGTTCTGCCTCTCTTCCCGCTGAAGAAAATCAAACGGGAAGGGAAGAAGGCAATGGGGGCCGGTATGGGAAACATCTGAGAACTCTCACAAGATGGTGTGTACCCACTGATTCCCCGGAGGAAGAGCAAGCTAAGCGGAAGATTCTGAGAAATAGAACTAAAAGGAGAGCCCTTGGGTTTTTGTCAAGTTATCTGTTATTACCAGGGAACGTGGCAATTAAGGACATATACAACGCTAAAGCAAATTAGGGCACAGTGACATAGTAGAATGCTATCCAGTCATTATTTAGAAAGACTTTTGTTGTTGTTGTTAAGACGGAGTCCCACCCTATGCCCTGAGCAGAGTGCAATGGCATCATAGCTCACTGCAACCTCAGACTTGGGCTGTGGGTATCCTGCTGCTTCAGCCTCCGGAAGCCGCTGGGATTACAGGTGCTCACTGTGGGTTTTTTTTTTTTTTTTTATGAGTCAGGGTCTCAGACTCACTCAGGCAAGTCTCGAAACTCCTGAGCTCAAGCAATTCTCCCTCCTCAGTCTCCCACAGTCCTGGGATTATAGGTGTGAACCACTGAGCCCCCCTAGAAAGACTTTTTCCAAAATTATCTTAATTTTCTTGATTATAAAAGCATCAGCCACATACACTGAGGCTGGCGTGTTTGAACCCAGTCCGGGACAGCTAAAACAACAATGACAAATGCAACAACAACAACAAAAATAGCTGGGCATTGTGGCGGGTGCCTATAGTTCCAACCATTTGGGAGGCTGAGGCAAGAGAATCACTTAAGCCCAAGAGTTAGAGGTTGCTGTGAGCTGTGATGCTACAGCACTCTACCCAGAGCAACAGCTTGAGACTCTGTCTCAAAACAAACAAACAAACAAAAAAAACTAAATGTAAACTTGTATACATAATGCCTGCCCTCGTGCAAACATTGGAAGAGAACATTCTGGAATGTTAATAGATAATATTCCTAGATGGGAGATCAATGATTATTACTTTCTAACACTTTTTGTTTGCTTTATATCACTGGGCATGCACTGCTTTTATAATTAAGAAAATTAAGATAATTTTGGAAAAAATTTTTGTTTTGTTTTGTTTTAGAGAGACTCTTCTCCCTTTATCACCCTGGGTAGAGTACTATGGCATCACAGCTCATAGCAACCTCCAGCTCTTGGGCCTAGGTGATTCTCCTGCCTCAGGCTCCCAAGTAGCTGGGATGACAGGCGCCCGCCACAACACCTGGCTATTTTTTGGTTGCAGTTTGTCTGGGACCGGGTTTGAACCCACCAGCCTCGGTATATGGGGCCAGCGCCCTACCCATTGAGCCACAGGCGCTGCCCAATTTTGGAAAAATTTTTAAAAATCAAGGAAACACACCTACCAGCAAAAAGACCTCTGGCCAGCTGGAGTGAAACCCAGCTTTATTTCTCTACGTGGAAAGAGGTCTGGGGCAGAGGCAGATGATAGGAAGCGGCAGAGGATGAGGGGAGGGTGTGTGGAGGAGGAAGGACTAGCGTTAGGTTTCTGGGGTGTGAAGTCTCACTGTCAGTTTCTCAGGGTTACAAAACGAAATCAACATAGTGAGGCACGAAGACCCACCCGAAATGGGCTGCCGGCCGTGCAACGCCAGGCTTCCTGGCAACAGTGTCCCTAGCACACTAAATTTGAAGAGAAGTGAGAAACAAGAAGAAATATGGAGAATACACATCAAAGACGACGTATTAACAACTGCCCAGAGCTTCTGCGGCACTAAAAATCCAGCGTGGGCCAAGTCATTTCCACGCCAACCCACCTATGTTCCAGCCACCAGTGTTGGGCCCTGGGTCTGACATGCTGGAGCAGGAGCCAGAGGAGGTAAAGCTGGGCTGGAGGCGGGGCGAGAACAAACAGGACTGGCATCAGAATGCTGTTCCACACGAAGGGTCACAGTCGGGCAAAATCAGACACGAGCCAGAAAACTGCAAACTTACGTATCGACTGTGGGACACCACAAGATTAGAGGAACGGTTAGGAAAAGGCCCAAAGGGGTTTGGTATTCCCTGGGGCCGAGACTGGGCTTCAAACACGCTGCAGAGCATGGCCAGCGTCTGCACATCCCGGAGCCGGCAATAATGGGCCAAGCTGAAGGGAAAGACGAGAGGAGAGAAAGTTACGAGCAGGGATCAAGGACGGTCAACCACCAGTCCTGGCGGGTTCCTGCCATAGGCTGGGAGACCTCTTAAACCCCCCAGGATTTGGGGTTTTCTACAGATCCAAAGTGGTTTGACCTACTGTGAATTTGGCTAGATTTCTTTCAGATTATAAGGCATCAAACAAAGTATTATAAATGCTCTAGATAACTCATCTGAAAGCTTCTGATTAGCATCCAGACGTGGCTTCTCCAAGAACTAAACGGAACGAACCTAACACCTGAGTGAGGTAACACATGTTCTCTCTCTCCTCCCATGAAGAGCCCCCCATGTACATGGGGGCCTCCTCTATACATCATTCATGTAACTTAAAGCTACATGAAGGAGCTGAGAGAACCCTGTTACCATCAGAGGTAACGGACACTGGACATGGAATCACAGACACAAGCTATTAAATGAGAACAAGGAACATTTTTATGTTTTAGGCCCTCATATCACCTTTGTTCTTTTAGGACCATCACGTGCGAATGTGAGTAAGGGATCAGAGGAACTTTGCCTTTGTGCCGGAGTAAGCACTGACACCTTCCTACCACTGACAGTGTAGTATTTGTATTTTCACGCTCACCTATCTGAGCCCGGCCTAAAGTAGATAAAACAGGTTTTATCATCCCAGCAATAACGATGAGGCAAGGGGAGCTTGAGCCCATGTCCCAGGACTGGCCTCAAGGCGTGAGTAGAGAAACGACAACCTAAAAAAGTAGTTTCTCTGCCAAAGCCCTGGGCAGCCATGTTACAGAGAGTCAAGTGATTTGACTTGGTGTTATTTTGTATAGTATAATTCCCACTTATCATATGTATGTAAGTGGGAATGTATATATATATATATATATATATATATATATGTATTTTTCTTTTTTGGCCAGGGCTGGGTTTGAACCTGCCGCCTCCAGCATATGGGGCTGGTGTCCTATCCTTGTGAGCCACAGGCACCGTCCCATATATATTTTTTTTAAGTCAATGTTTTTAGGACTTGCCTAACAGGGTGGGAGCATCACGGCCTTTGGCAAACATGAATGTCAACAGTCGCTTCTCTAATCTGTCCTCAGGGGTAAGATACTACAACTCCCAAGAAGAAATGTAGCATTTTAAGAGCTCAAATTCCTGGGTTCAGACTGATATGATTTCTGGACTAAAGCGTGAACCTCTAAAGGACACGTGAGTCTTAGGGGTTTCAAATCTTTGTTATAAAAGACAAATATTGTACAGCTACTTCTGCAATAAATTAGTTTTACACACAAATTATTTCAGCACTAAAAGGAAAGATCCTACTTCTCATTCTTCAGGCCTCTGAACTCTTTGTTTACAGACCTAAAATTGCCATCACTCATTTTCCTCGTTTTTAGCTCTCAAAACCTACAGGGACTCCAGCAGCTGTCGACCGAATGGATGCCGAGCCCAGGGTGTTTCCAGATCTGGATCAGACTTTGGACCAAGGCAAAGATCTGTAGCTACCGTAGCCAGGGACCAGACCTAGACAGAGCAGGGAGAAACACACAAACTCAAACTGGTGAGCCCGGGAACAGAAACCTCAGATACAACTTCACGCCTTGCCACTCTGAGGGTGGCAAAAGTCGGAAGCTTCTGGAAATGCAGAATTTTAGGCCCCACTCAGACCCAGTGAGTCATAATTTAAAGCTTAACAAGACCCTTAGGGGACCGTGTACATACGCTATATGAAGTTTGAGAAACACTGGCCTTAAAAACTTTCATTAAGTCAACTTTGGAGAAATGACACAGTGTGCTCATTTGAAAAGGTCTTCTATTTAACCTCTGACTCATATCACATTTTCTGCTGCTTCATTAGTGAGCTGGGTTGGCAGGGAGAAATAAAAAAGCATTCTATATTATGTTTAAGATCCTTCTTTACCCAAATAGTACAAAACTTTGTTGCCTTCATTATACAAGATTTAGGACTCTCTGAAGCTTAAAAAAATGGCAAAACAGGCTTCCCTCTCTCTCTGATGATGCTAAATCTGAGAAAAACCTTCAAATTTAAAATATCCTGGGGTTTAGAGTCATCAAGCAGGAACGAATGCTCAATTAAGTGTCTGTGAGATCCAAGGCACACATTAAATTCCTCATGTCATAAACAAAGCCCCCATCCCCTCAAAATCTTCCATGATTGAATACTTCTGCAAAATCTTTTTAAGTAGCAATACTTCGCTGTATGCTCAATAACCGAAAAACACTACACTAGACTCTCAGAAGCTCAAAAGGAAGAATGGAGGAGTTCCTACTCTAAGAAGAAAGAATAAGCACACAAAACCACTGCAGAACCGGTAGAGAAACATCAGACATGCAAAACCAGTGAAATTATGTGGCACCAACTGTACTCGAAAAATATACCCAAGTACTATTTGAAAAGAGAAACGTGAAGTTTACATTCATCTCTGTCATCAGCGATCCACTGAGTGGGTGCTCTAAAGAGTCAATGACTTTCTGGGACAGGATGTTTACCACCCGGGCTGCCAACCGAAGCCTGTATTTCCTCACTTCCTAAATGTCTTTAAAAAAAAAAAAAAATAGTGACACTTGATTTATTTTTGCAACTCTTTGTCAACAATCAGTTGTATTCACATCATCTTCAACATGGGCATGAAGAACAAAAAAGAGAATGCCAATATTTTCACTGATGTCATTCCTCTGTCCCTTTAAACAGTATCATGTCACATGTCCTAAATGATGATGGATTACAAGGACAGCGGCAGTAACTGTACCATATAGGGGGCATTTGCCATCTATCAAATAAAGTTATGGGATTTCACATGTATTATTTAGTTCTCACAATTACTTTAAAAGTATTGTTCCTATTTTATAGCTGATGAACTTGAGGTTCAGAAAGATTAGGTGGCTTGCTTATAAATGTACAACAAAAGAGTGCAGAGCCCAGATTTAAGCTGGGTCTGTCTGAACACAAGAGTCTTGCCACTTCACTCGGACTGGCCTGCCCTTCCCAATCAGCTCTGCCAGAAAGGAACTGAAAAATTTAAAACCAAAAACCTTTACAAGTCATTTTTCCTCAAAGAATGTTTTTTTCCGGAAAATGAACCTTACATCGACCTTAGTATGGCATTTGCCCAACTTCTCACCAACCCTATGAGGTACTTATTCTTAAGGTTTTCAGTTTACAAACACATGGAGGCTGAAACACTGCAAAACAACCCGCCTCGTGTCCCTGTGCGAGGAAGTCAAACTGCACCTAGGCCTCTGCCCTTGGTTCCGCCCAGAACTTTCTACTACCTCCTGGTGCCTTCTTAGCATCCCCAGAACATTAACACAAGCAGAACAGAGGAAATCTATCACTCAACTTCTCCCAAAAGGTTTTTGGCAGAGACATGACAGTTTGTTAGAAGACAAATGGAAATGTTAGGGATTTTTTAATCTGATAAACATCAAGGACAGGGCTTCGCTTTGATTCATTCAGAGGGTGATAAGGGAGAAAATCGAGCTGACAGAACAACAGCTGGCAGGTTCCATTGCTCAGTCTAATCCTCGTGCTGACGAATAAGGGTACGATTGAGAAAGGAAACTGATGAGTGGGTGCCCAGGGCTGGGAGGAAGAAGAGATTAAGAGGTGACAATTGGGGGTTTCAGGGTCTCTTTAGGGGATGATGAAAATGTTCTAAACCTGTTTGTGGTGATGGTCACACAACTTTGAATGATAAAAACCGCTGAATGGTACATTTCAGCGGGTAAATTCCACGGCATGTGGACTGTATCTCAATAAAGCTGTTGATCAAAACAACACAGAAATAGTTTGCTCTAATACACTGCTGTGTTCCTACTAAAATGAAGGAAATTTAAATTTTGTAATATTATATAATATTGTAATTTTATAATATTAAATCACGTTTTAAAAATGAACACCTACAAAGGAACACTTTGCTAAATAAACCTTTTATGAAATGAAGCATTTTGAAAAGTTACAAAAGATGGAGGGTGCAAATGGCAAAGATACAGACGCTCACATTTAGGTATGTGACAATCACCATGTGAGGGGAATCGAAAGGAGACTAATAAAAATGCTCAGTAAATGCTTTACTTTTTCTTTCTTTCTTTCTTTATCTATTTGAGACAGAGTCTTACTCTGTCACCCTGGGGTTGAGTGCTGTGATGTCACAGCTCACAGCAACCTCAGACTCCTGGGCTTAAGAGATCTTCCCTCCTCAGCCTCCCAAGGAGGTGGGAGTACGAGCACCTGCCACAACATCCAGGTAATTTTTTCTGTTTTTAGTAGAGATAGGGTCTCGCTCTTGTTCAAGCTGGTCTTGAATTCCTGAGCTCAAGCAATCTTTTTGCCTTGGTCTTCCAGAGTGCTAGGGTTACAGGTGTGAGCCACCACGCAGCCCTCAGTAAATGCTTTAGACCTTCCCAACTAAGCACTAGTAAGACAAACACATCCAGGGGCTGCTCTAGCCCTATGGGTTGGCAAAGAAAATAGCAAAGGAGTTACACAACAGGAGGCACACCTTGAAAAGGTTGCTAACCCGTAATTACAAAGTGAAAACAACTTGCTCTTAAAGAAGAATCCCAATCTCCACCAAAAGGGATGTACAATACCTGGACCAGATCCTTTCTTCCCACAAGCAAGGCCGAAGTGGCGTTCTTCTGACATGTTTCCTGAATATCATTCACGTTCAATCTGAAATTTTTTAAAAAAGAATAAACAAGTTTCTAGTCTACCTTCCTAAATCAATGACTCCTGGCTTAACACATAGTCCGGGAATAGCTTTTTCGGTTGTCAGTCAGAATGACTGATTCTGTGTTGGCCTTGCCTACCTGACGGGGAAGGAAAGTTGAACTAGAGCTGATGTCAACACAGCTGTGGGTTCCGGCCTGGGGAAGGTGAAACTACTCACCTCTTTGATGTGGGGAGAGGAGGCCACATTCAAATACCAATTTGCCCGCCAGCTTGTCTGTGGAGTTCCCAGGGTTTGATGGTTGAATAAAAATGGATTTAAATATGTGCAAGACTGTGGTTCCTAAATAGTAGGAACACATATCGGACAAAGGAAATACTTTCTACTATGAGTTCAAGAAGCATGGAACTGCAGGCCAGCCTCTGCATGCTGGTCACTCACCCCTTTCCTCCCTTCTACTCCAAACAGCTCTGCTCTTATCTGTTTTTCATACCTAAGATGGTCCTCAAGCTTCCTGCCCCCTACCAAGCGTGCTTTGTATAACACCCTCCCTTTGAACGTGGACAACACTGGTGAGCACCAACGGGATGTCCCTTTTCCATGACTATGTTATTAAGCAGTGGACTCTGGTTTCATCAAAGGGGAGGCTGTCCTGAGTGGGCCTGACCTGATCAGGCGAGGGCTTAGAAAGAAGGTGAAGTGGGTATGAGCCACTCTTGCTGGCCTCTAGGAAGATGAAATTCACAGAAGAGTTCCGCAGCCCCAAGGGACTGAATTTTGCCAACAACCTGAATGGGCTTGGAGGAGAGACCTGAGCACTGGCTAGGACCACCACCTGGCCAACACCATGACTTCAGCCTGGTGAGACCCTGAGCAAGGACCCAGCAGAGCCATGCCCAGATTCTTGACCCACGGAGATCATGAGATAATACATGACAGCTATTTGAAGCTTCTCTCTTTGTGGTAATGTATTACTAGCAATAGGAAGCTAATTTGCTGGGCTTCTCCTAAAACTGCTTTTTGAATTCTAACACTTAAAAAAGAAAAAAAAAAACATTTGCTAATCATGGCTAAATGTTAATTGCAGCTTACTTTAAAAACATTTTTTTCTTTTTAAGAGATGGAGTCTCCCTATGTTGCCCAGGTTAGACTCCTGGGCTCAAAAGATCCTTCTGCCTCACCCTCCCCAATAGGCGGGGCTACAGGCTGGTACATCAGGTCACACTTACATGTACAGTTCTCCCAGGGATTTGTGAACAGGAAGGAGGCACGTGATGTCCTGGATGATGACCTTCCCGGCCGCTTTGATCTGCCGATTGCCAGAGTCCGACCCCTCACGCTTACTTTTCCACCGCCGTGATTTCTGGGGGAAATGACAAGTTATAACTCACGGGGACTTATGACAAGTGGAGACCTACAGCTGCAGAGCACATCAGATTTGGGTCATTGGTAATTTGCAGAGACTCTAAATTACATCATGCTCACAATTATGGGAATCAGCATCTGTAGGAAATAAAAGGATAACAAAGGGCATTGAGCTCTTGATTCAAAATCCTAACAGGAAAATAAGCACCTACTACAGGGCTATATTCTTCAGGTGCTCAAAAATAAATACCAGGAAGCCAGGATTAATGAATTAATTTTTAGGATGGCAGATAAATAAGTTAGTAAAGACCCCAAAATTGTGGGAGAGGAATAATTTTTAGGTTGAGTTCATTAGTAGGTTCAAAGTCCTTGCCTGAAACTAATCAAAGATTTTTCTTCTCAGTTTCAACAGGATTTGTTGTAAATGTAATTCAGACCCAGCAGTGCGGGCTCTGCAAACCTTAATCTATAACAGGAAGACAGAGAAGCTTAGCAGCTTGAGAATGACCCTGCTTTTCTAGTAGACTTGAATTGTTTCTAAAAGGGGGATCATTTGCGAATGTCAAAAGTATCTGAATCAAGAGACTTGCGTGTGGACACAGGAGGTAATGACTAAGTGTCCCATTTCCCCAGAGTCTCACCTAGAAGGGGCTGTGTGTGTGAGCAGCCTGCACGTGTGAAATGAGAGCTGTCCTGGAAAACAAATGATCAGAGCACAGCCCCACCTGGTATTTTCAAAATGACAGCCCGTCAGTGGAGCAATAATCTATTTCACTTTATTGCCAGAAGTTAAATAGGAGGTCGTCAGAGAGATCTGACTAAGGAAAGGAGTGACACATTCACTAACCTGATGCAAAGGGAGCTCGTGGGAGGGCCCTGAAAGGCGGAGTCAGAAAGCCGAGGCTTACTGCTCTTACGCCATGTGCAGTGGCTCAACAGGAGCCCAGGAGAGTCACTTATTTGGGGCCAGTATAGTCTCACAATTGTCATTCTTTCCTTGCTTACTGAGAACTTGTGGCTAATCACAAGCTCTGTTGTGCCAATCTCACAAGTTAAATAAGCGGACAATGAAAGGGCATGGGCACAAATTGTGTAAGCTGAAAAGTGCAATTGCAAAACCTAATTATTATGAATGTATGTAAACTAGAGGGATTTAGATTGTTATTTAAATGGCTCACAAATAATCTCATTTTTTGGAAAGGATTTTTGTATAGTCACTCTCCCATGAATCAGTCTTGGTCTAGCCAGGAATTCCTGACCACTGATGAACCATCTAATCCCAAAGTTGCCCCATGCAACATAATAACAGGGTTATTGTGTATCTTGGAACCTACTAAATCCAGGACACCCAGACTTAGTTCAGGGCAGGTAAATAAAGCTTAGTGGACATATCTATGAATTGTTTATTGTCATTTGTAAGCATGCACGCTATGTTGTCAATTACTTCTTGAGAAGTAATTCAATTACTATTTACTACTTATCAATGCCCAAGTCATTATTCTGCAATAAAAGGGGATGTTTAATCCATTATTGCAGGATACACCTTCCATTATCTACTTCCCCTACTTCTTTCTTCAAGAATGATGTGCTAACTCACAAAAAATACCATCCTTTTAGCCACAAGCATCCTGACGTGAGTACAAATAAGGGGAGAATAAGTTAAAGAGCAAACGACCTGTCAGAATGGGCTGGAGCCAGGCAGTTCCCTGACCTAAGACAGGTGTGGTGACAGTTGCACTGAATGCTATGACATAGCCAGTTTAGGGAAGGTGATGTCCCCTCAATCTACCCTGCAGTGACAGTGAACTACACAACGGGCTTAACCAGAACAGGGAAGGTACAAGGCACACAGACTCGTTTCACTGATTTTTAATCGGGTTTCTAAGAGTTTAAAAATCCGAGGAAAAGGGCAGCGCCTGTGGCTCAGAGGAGTAAGGTGCTGGCCCCATATGCTGGAGGTGGAGGGTTCAAATCCAGCCCCGGCCAAAAAAAAAAAAAAAATCCCAGGAAAAGACACCTCCACAGGTCCCATGTAATTAGTTATCTTAAATGAGACTTAGGGTACTGGATTTGGAAAAAAAAAATCTACACTAAAATGATGCTGCCTGGAATGAATAGGATCCACCTATACGGTCTTCCAGGTCAGCTAGAGGGCTTCTGAACACTGCGCCAGGCTGTCACTCTGGCTCCTTATTACAAAGAGAAATGAGCAGCACTTAGGCAATTGAACACTCATTATAGCTCAGTTTAACTATACAGCAAAAATAAACGGAAGCCTGTGGCCTGTGAAGGATGAGGTCTACTAGCTTTCAGCATCCTCTGAAAATAAAAATAACCACAGCTTCCTGACTTCTAAAGCAAACCTAATAAAAACACATGATTAATTACATTAAGTTCCACATGCCAAAAAGTGGCTCATTTGCAAGTAGACAAGCCCTTCTGGAAATTGACCACTGACACAAGTTCAAGTGTACAAATGTTTGACTTGGGAGTGTCAATATTAGCTCCTGCTTACTCTGAGCTAGCATGGGCCTCACCACAGCTCTGGGACATGGGGATATTGTCCCGTTTTACAAGTGAGGATGAGGCTCACTCAAGGTCACAGTCCTAAGAGCTGAGACAGGCCTGCCAGGCTGCTAAACTCATTCTTGACTTGATTATCAGTGTTTGATCTTGGACTAAGAAGAAAAAAAATTAAATCCCGACTAAAGTACCTATTAATAATATGTGAATAGTTGGGTCCCTTTTTTAACTAACCTGTTTCTGCATGTGAGAAGATCCCTATCTGATTCTAGTGACACCCGCCCAACACCTCCTACAACTGCTCACAGCTTTGGTCACTTTTCTGCTGACCCCTGTGGCTATGTCGTGCTAGGCTGAGTGTCTGGGGCCACATTTAGGCCAAGATGCTAAATTTCAGGTCGGGGGTTGACAGTCTGCACCTCTGATGGCTTAATCTCCTTTTCTGCATTTGTCAGGATCAGGCACATTTAGACAGCAGGAAACTCAGAGTCCAAAGAGATATCTTAGGACTCTTTCCTGGCTGGCAGCTTTGGGTTACAGAGAGCCGTAGAAACAAACCAGTGTAAGCTGTCAATAAATACTTGATGAAAATGTAAGGAGAGTGGGCTTTGACAACTTTTTGCAGTCATCCTTCTCTGAATTATGGAAATCACAGTCTGTCTTTCCTGGGACTTCTGGAGACACCAGGCTTCTATGTGATTCCATTTGATCTGTAACAGTGGATCTCTAGGGAGAGCTTTACGCAACCTCACTCAGCTGCCTTTCAGCCTACACCAGAATAAGGCTCCCTAATGTGGGATCACCCTAATTATAGCTGTCACCAGGAATCAAATTGTGAAAGCAATTATGAGATAGCAATATTCGTTGTTTTATTCCAGCAAAGAATAACTACAAAATATTATCAAAATTTTTTAAGGCCACAAAATAGTTTCAATATTTGTTTTTTAATTTGTTGGTCAATAGTATTTACTTTTTTTTTTGCAGTTTTTGGCTGGGGCTGGGTTTGAACCCACCACCTCTGGCATACGGGGCCAGGGCACTACTCCTTTGAGCCATAGGCGCCACCCTTTACTTTTTTTTTTTTTGAGACAGAGTCTCACTATGTTGCCCTTGGTAGAGTGCTGTGGCACTACAGCTCATAATAACCTCAAACTCTTGGGCTTAAGCAATTCTCTTGCCTCAGCCTCCCAAGTAGGTGGGACTACAGGCACCTGCCACAATGCCCTGCTGTTTTTTTGTTATTGTTGTCACTGTTGTTTAGCAGACCCTGAGCAGGTTTGAACCCACCAGCCCCAGTGCATGTGGCCGGCACCCTAACCACTGGTCAATTGTTTTTAAACATGACCTACCTTCCCTTCAGGGTATAGAAGTGACTTAGTAACTCCGCCTAGTGGCTATTCTGGGGATTCAAAATTAACAAAGCTGCCTAAATGAAGACACGCTAAATCTCAAATCAGATCCTAGTTAGACCTGCAAGTCCTTGCTACTACCTAACAAGTAAATGGACAATTTCCCACGGTGTTTCCTCCAGTGCTTTGGCAATTAAAGGGTTCGCATTCCATCTACACCTCTCCTAAGACTTATTTTTCCACTTATTACCTATCAAGTGATCACACACAGATTTCTTTGGGGATTCTTTGGTTCCAGAGAACAATGACACATCAAGTGAAAATGTGGTTAATCTTTCTGAGTGGGCGCTATGGTCTAAAAGGCCCTCAGCATCCTGCATTGCTCCAGTCCCACTCTGACGGGCTTAAATGGAGATAATTTTCTGGGCAGTAAAACTGGTACCTCGGGGAAGCAGAGGACTCTGCATGTTTTCCTAAGTCCTTTCAATGCTCCACAGACAGAAAATGTCCCATCCCCACAGATTTCATGAGAAGGGATTAAGGGCAGAGAGGCAAAGCAAGACAGACAAATTATTACGTGATGAGTACCAGGATGCCACTCTGAACATACCAAGAAGGGTTCATGGAGTTATGGCAAAGAGGACAGGGAAGAAAGGACTGGGGGGTGGGGGGTGGGAAGGGGAAGCACTGGTGTAAATAGCACTGAAATGACAACCAACAGCCAGCTTGCGACTGTACCACCAGTATTACTGCTACAATCGGAGGCAACATCGATGCCAATATATGGGTTGAATATGTAAAAACAGCCCAAGAATAAGCCACCAACTGCTTCGCAGCAACCCCATCAGCAATGCACAATCAGCAGAGTGGGCAGGGAGTCAAAATGAGCTCTTGTTTAAATAGCAGCAGGAGCAGGGACTTCAGGACAATGAGTGGAAATTCAGCAGTGGGGCTGGCTAGGACAGGCTTTTTTAAGGAGAGGTGACCACGCTAGTGGCTCCACCTATAAGTTGTTGGCAGCAGTGATATGTGCTCGTCAGGGCTCCTGCTTTCAAGAGGTTTTTGTATGAACTGGCTGCGGGACTATTCCCCTAAATATTCTTTATATACAAAGACTCAAGGATGACTTGCACAGCTTGAGGTCATCTTGGCATTACTAAAACATGAAGGGGCTGGGAGAGGAAGACAGAAGAGGGGAAAATGGCCAACAGGAGTGAGTAAGGAAGAGAGAAAAGGAAGAGAGGATGTCCACAGCAGAGGTTTTATTGTCAATGCAAAAAACGGATGGCAAGGAAAAAATTTGTTCCAGAAAATTCCAAAGGTTCTAAACCAGCATGAGTGTCATGCCAATGAAGCAGGTGGGCACCTCCCTCTCTGAACTAGCCCAAGGCTATAAAAACAGTGGCAAATGGCAGACGCCTCTTATATCTTCCTCTGCTCCCTCCATGTCACAGGAGGCTTTTGAAAGTTCTAAGAAATTATGCAAATGCTCCAAGTGAAATCAGGTGAGCAAACAGCATATAATCAAGGTTCTTCCCAAGAAACCCAGTATAAAGTTTCGTTTGCAAAAAAGGCCATTCAGCACCCTTAATAATATTAACCCATTTGCAACTCCCTGATTGAACAAGAAGGCTGTCCTTGGTGCCTGAACTCCCCCAAGCATGAAATTTATTATTGCTGGTCCTGAAAACCAGCCAGTCTGTCATTTCAGGTTCCTCAAAGCCAGGCAGGTGGCATTTTATTCTTGGGCCTTTGGGTAGAGACAGGATTAGTCAAGGAGAGTATTTGCACAGCGCACAGTACCGGGAAGTCGTTAATTGCTTGTATGGACCAACGTCGCCGGGCAGAGCGAGGAGACATCTGTGCGTGAAAACGTTACACCCAGGAAGAGGGAAGAAAAACACCAAGAAAATTAAAAGGAAAAAATATAGAGTAAAATGAATGCTTCCCACACAACTGATGGACTAAAAGGTACAATAATATACTGTAAAATGGGGACTGGAATGATCGAAAAATCTGAACCTAAGCACGGCAGTTACTGGGATTCCCTCACCTCCCTCCCGACCCACCACACTCCCGACAAAGCTTCCAATTCGTTATTTTTTAGTTACCTTTTTCAAGGTGTAAGGGGGCTGACATCAACACAGCTCTGGCAAAGGGACTATAATCAAGATTTGAGGAACTAACAAGGACTAAGATCATAGTGTGACTGGAAAGATGGGCAAAAGACTGTGTTCTCCTCTATGGTGGGCACATTCTCACTCCTAAGAAGGAAGATACTCTTCAACAGGCTTAATACCAAATCTTTCCTGGTACATGGCTGGGGATGATGAGTGAATTGGGAGTCGTGATACTAAGACTGCAGGATTAGATCTTCAGAGCGATTCCAGGGAAAGTGAGGGCCCTGGAGAAACAGGGGAAGCGGGCAGCTCAGCCCAAGGGGGCACCCTCTTGCAGGCGCCCTGGCTAACAATCGAATGTGCTAACAGTCTCCATCTGTTTATGGAGATTAGAAAGCATTCTGTTAAAAGCTTCCCCAGTTATTTACATCTGAGCTATCTTAGTGAAACCAACTGAAGCAAGAGTAAGAGGTTGCAAAATTTTAAAAATGTTTGTAAGGCCGTATCTAATATTTATTAGTTCTGGGCCTCCTCATTTATCCTGGAAATGAATAATATTTCTTTCTGGTTTTTTTTTTTGAAATGAATATTTCATTAGCTATTAATAGTTGATCCACTTGCCAAATGAATGTTAACATCTCCTTTTGCTTCTATGAAATCTGATATTTTTTTAGGTCTCTCACATTTTTAAGAGCAAATTTTGGAATTCATCTAGAGAACCTTTGGGTGAATGTAACAGTATGACTCGAGTAAGGCAGGTTAAAAACACACAACAGCAACGAGAAAAACAAACAATAATAATCTCCAAATGGCTCTACGAAGATTTTTTATAATCTCAAACATACCCTAGAAATCCTTCATTGCTATGCCTTAATGCAGAATTATTCCATTCCTTTACTCTGACCCACCCAAATCTCTCAGGGGTAGAGATTTTAAAGGAAATCAAAATACGTGGGAGAAAAATTGGGGCTGAAAACGAAGACTTAAACAAAGAGAAATTTAGTGAACTGTAATCATTTCCAGAACAAAAATAATAAAAGTGTTGTCACTTGACATGTGAAATTAGACACTGAGGATTAGAACATACTCCATAAGGAGTACTGACGTCTGGGAGGAAGATAAGGTAGGCCTATCTAAGTGCATGGCCTAGCCCATGTCTTCAATGCCCCCTCTGCCCCATGTAAATGGATGAACATGAACAGCTTCAACGAGAGAGTAGTTTACTTCAAATTCACCATTTTTTACCTGCTTAACCTATTAGATTGATCCACATCAAACTTTTCTTAAGTTAAAAACGATCAAATATTAGCAATTTCCTATGATTTAACCTCACAATTATTATATGTCAGCCACTAAAACATGTCTCCCCTCCAAGGTTTCGGGGGTTCTTACAGTGTTCTATGTTTTGACTGTGTGATTGTTAATTCACTGAACTATACGCTTATGATTTTTGAACTTTTCAGTATGTGCAATACATCCATACAAAGATTTCACGTGAAATTGTAATAAAAGTGCCCCCCATTTTACTTGGTCACTATTTGAAATAGAACATAAGTATCACTTACTACACCATATCAGGGGACTCTAGCAGCCCATGTTCTGTGGAGAAGCATCCTGGGAAGACCTCCCCTGACTCTCACAATCCTTCCTCTGCTCTTCAGCAGTTCTCATCTGATAGGAGACAGTTCTCCATGTGCCTCTGGCCCCTCTTTTTTTTTTTTTGAGACAGAGCCTCAAGCTGTCCCCCTGGGTAGAGTGCCATGGCATCACAGCTCACAGCAACCTCCAACTCCTGGGTTCAAGCGAGTCTCCCGCCTCAGCCTCCCAAGTAGCTGGGACCACAGGCGCCTGCCACAACACCTGGCTATTTTTTGGTTACAGCCATCATTGTTGTTTGGTGGGCCTGGGCTGGATTCGAACCTGCCACCTTAGGTCTATGTAGCTGGTGCCTTAGCCACTTGAGCCACAGGCGCTGAGCCATTGGCCCCTCTTTATAACTGCAGTGTACATAGTAAAAGAGGCCAGATCATTCAAAACATGGACTTACTTTTGCATGAGGAAAGGTGCCATCTTGGAACTGCAGTTATTTTTGTTAGAAAAGGGCTTTACACACTACTATGAAGTCAAGACTGGTAGCATGTGACATGAATCAAAGGGGAAAATTCAGAATTGCCTCTTTGACTAAAATGTTTCCTCAACCTGGCCCTGAAACTAAAGCCCACCATAAGTCCGTTTGGCTTTTATGATAATAATTTGCCTGAGTTCCAGCCAGTCTATCAAATAATATATTCAGTTAACTGTGAGCCTATGGAAAAAGAAAAAAAGAACTAACCATTTTGAATGTCAAAGCCCTGGGTGTGGCACAGTCTAGCAGGTATTCCTAGGAGGTCTATGATACCCAAGGGGGGCAAAATTCCATCAGCAATGTGAGGAAGGGGAACTACAGAAAACTGGCCATTTCCCCCTACTCAACTAAAGGTCTCACCCAGGACTAGTCCAGTCTTAAATAGCAGTTGCTGCTACTCATGTAAGTCACACACAACCCTGAGAACACAGTCGGAGATGCTGCATTATCAGTGTGAACCAAGAAGGGCAGACGCTTCTAATACTTCCTAGAAATCGGTACCTTATTTTAAAATAATTCAATTTTTTAAAAACAAATTTTACTTAAAGACGATCCATTATTTTTCATTAGTGAGGGCCAACGACAAAGAACTCCTAAGGACTGAGTGGGTGCGGTAGCTCAGTGGTAACTTTGTTTAAAACATCACCTTGGCGAAAAGGGGCTCAATCCGACAACAGGGAAATTGTTCTCAGAATCATTTCTACACTCTGCCAACATTCTCCTCGCTAGTGCTACCAAAGGTTCCCGACAGTTTAATGATAACTACTTAGGGGACAATGAGTTCCTTAAGAGCTTAGGAACATAAGGACAAGTTCAGCTGATTTTTGTATAAACTGGTCCATTCAAATGGATATTTAATGGGGTCATGGTGTGTGACACACCTCTTGGGGGCAGAACGCAATTATAAGAGGGACTTTCCTAACAAATGCAATCAGTGTAACCTCGTTCTTTGTACCTTCAACAAATCCCCAACAATAAAAAAAAAAAAGGGTACTTAAATGGAATCTTCGGGAAAAATTTTAGACATTCACTTTAAGACTTCTTACAACCGTGCAGTTCCAAATATGTTAAGAGCTCAAGCCTTCAGAGGCATCCCTCAATTTGTTGACAAACATCAGAATACCAACAAAGACCTGAAGGCAAAGCGTTTACCCGAAATAAGGAGAGTCAGCTTAGTGGAGTAAGGACAGGGTTAAACGGGGAGGAACCACGTGGATTGTAAGAACTAATGCCCCTCCCACATTTTATAACAGTTAAAACCAACTGAAGGAACAAAATAATGGTCTCTCTTGAGCAAACTAATCATGAACGTGAAAACCTACAGGGGGATTACTAATTTAGCTGTTCCATGTGGCAGGCGGGGAGACAACAGTACCCAGAAGGGGTAAGAATCAAAGGCAACGGCTCTGGCACTTACCCGCTCCTTGTAGTAGAAGGAGCTGATGGAGACCTGTTCTTTCTCGCTGCGGGTAGGGCTCCCGCTGTATAAACGGAGGTTCCCAGGGGCCTCTGTGCGGATCTTCATTGGTGCAATCAAGCCAGTATGATAAGCAGACAAGGCTGAGAGAGACCTGTGGTAGAAAATGAGAATTACCCACGCTGGCTGTTGTCTTTTCACATTTCTTTTTCTTTCTTCTTTTTTTTTTTAAGAGACAGAGTCTCACGTTGTCGCCCTGGATAGAGTGCTGTAGCGTCATAACTCACAGCAACCTCTAGCTCTTGGGCTTAGGAGATTCTCTGGCCTCAGCCTCCTGAGTAGCTGGGACTACAGGCGCCTGCCACAACGCCCAGCTATTCATTTGTTGCAGATTGGCCGGGAGTAGGTTCAAACCCGCCACCCTCAGTATATGGGGCCGGTGCCCTGCTCACTAAGCCATAGGCGTTGCCCTCTTTTCACATTTCTAAGTAGTGCTATTCTTAGCACTCGATGACACCAAGAGGAAAACATAGACAAAATGGGGAAAAGATAAAAACTCCCCCCCTCCAAAAAAAAAGAAACATTTTAAAACCGAAAAATGCTCTATCTGCCTAAACACAGAAGGTACCTATGAATGTATAAACAAAAAATTCACGGGAATCTACAGATTACTAGAATAAGTGAACTTAGATACAAGGTCAACTTACAAAAATCTATTATATAAGGCCGTGGCTCACGCCTGTAATCCTACCACTCTGGGAGGCTGAGGTGGATGGATTGTCTGAGTTCAGGAGTTCAAGATCAGCCTGAGCAAGAGTGAGACCTGCCTCTCTACTAAAAATAGCCAAGTGTTTTGGGGGGCACCTGTAATCCCACCTACTTAGAGCCTGAGCCAAGAGGATCACTTGAACCCAGGAGTCTGAGGTTGGTGGGAGGTACAATGCTGCCATGGCACTCTACCCACGGCAAGAGAGTGAGACTCTGTCTCAAAAAAAGAAAAAAATGAAAAAAAATGAAAATTTTCTACTAAAAAGAGAAAAAACTGAGACAAAGGGATCTCTTGAGCCCAAGAATTTGAGGCTGCTATGAGCTATGACACCACAGCACTCGACCCAGGGTGATAGAATAAGCCTGTTTCCAAAAAAAAACCCAAAACTACTATGCTTATACGTATTAGAAACAAACATTTAGAAAACAAATATTTTTAAAATTGCATTTACGGGAGCATCTAATACAAAACAAACGAGCAAATTTAATTTTAAAATGTGCATAAAATACGCATAAAAGAATGTTGTTGATAGAAATTAAAGATGACTTGCAATAGTGAAGACATGTACATGCTAGTGGATTGGAAGATTCCTTATTGTTAAGATGTGAATTTTCTTTAAATTGATCTACAGAGTTAACACAATTCCATCAAAATATGAGCAGGCACTTTTTTTCCTTTTTTTGTCAAAATCAATAAGCTGATTTTAGAATTTTATGAAAATGCAAAAGAACTAGAATAGTCAACCCAAAATGAAACAAGCATAATAAAGTCAGAGGACACACACTGTAAGATGTGAAGTGGTACTGACATAAGGAGAGACAAAAAGATCCAAGGAAAAATAGAATCCAGAAGGGAGAACCCACAGACTACAAACGTCTGGTCAACTGATTCTCATTGATCAATAAAATGCAATAAAGAAAGGAAATCTTTTCATAAATGACGCCAGAACAACTATTTCTCTGTACTTAAATAAAATAAATTTTGACCCTAACTCACCTTATATCCAAAAATTAACTTGAAATGGATCACAGCCTTTAAATAAAGAATTTAAAACTATAAAATTTTTAAAAGAAGACACAGAAGGACATTTTCCTGACCTCAGGGTAGGTAAACTTATTTCTAGGCACAACACAGAAATTATTAACCATAAAATCAAAAAGTCAGAAACTGGACATCACTGAAATTAGAAGCTGCTGTTCACTGACAAACATTACGGAAAGACAAGCCACAGATCAGGAGAGAATCAATCACCCAGCAAAGGATTTGCAATCAAATTAGACAACCACCACAAATAAACAAGAGTGCAGTCCAATGATGAGCAAAATAGTCCCAAAAGAAGACACGCAAAGACACACAAGCATCACTGGTCATCAACATGGAAATGCAAATTAAAACATGATCATATTACACGCCCACCACAATGGCTGAGGTCAGAAAGATCAGCAACACCCAGTGTTGGAGGGGATATGGAGCGACTAGAGCTCTGAAACCTTTCTGGTAAGAGGGTAATCAGCACGATCACTGTGTATAAACTTTCTGGCAATTTCTCCTCAAATTAAACAAGCCTGGCTCGGCGCCTATAGCTCAACCGGCTAAGGCGCCAGCCACGTACACCTAAGGTGGCGGGTTCGAATCCCCAGCCCGGACCCGC